AAAAGCCGTTGAAAAAAATTCAAGGCGGAACCAGTTAAAAAAGGGTTCCAATAGTCGTGGGGAGGCGGTTCCAGGCCATTCTGACGCGCCAAAGCCACCTCCTTTACCCATCCAATCAATTTGATCGAAGTATTGAGTATTTGAATTAAGAACTGCGGATCTCTACTCGGCCGATGCTCTGACTTTTCAGGGAAATCACTGCTTCTGTCAGTGACACTACCCCCAAACCCCCCCCCCGCTGTCAGGGTACAGCATCTTTGTGTGAAGCCTACGAAGGGGGGGGGGTCGTATTTGGTCGCTGTTGGGAGAGGGGGGTCGTATGTGGCTTTGAGAGAAAGTTGCCGCGTTCAGACAGTTGTTGACTGACTTTTTGTGATTTTTCCTGTTTCATATGTACTATACCCCCCCCTGCCGCTCGACAGCAAACAGGAAAATTTCGGGGGTAAAAGTAGGAAAATGTGGTAAAGTGGTAGCAGTTGTTGGAAGTAGGGGGTAGGGCTCGTGCAAAGATCCTCCTTCAAGGTGGGGGGGGGTCACACCGAGACCCTCCTTTGGAGGGGGGGGGTCGTATTGCCACCACCATTCCACAGATCACGATGCTGTACCTTGCCCTCTGAAGTGTTTGCAAACGGATACTTGATTCGGGAAGTAGGGAACGCTATATTTGTTTGGGAGACTTTGAGTTCTCAGAAGCTGGAGAAGTAAAATTAAGTCGTTCAAACTCACCGCCGATGTCGCTTCTCCACTAGGGCCGGGGGTCGAAGCCATATGGCAATTGCACTTTGGTAAAGTATCTGGTATACCGAAGAGTTTATATCGTGACGAGTCCGATACCAAAGAGGTCTGTAACGGTAAACTTCCTTTTTACATAGAGTAAAACTGATTCTATTCGAGCTGAGTCATAATGGAAACATATGTGCAGTGAATTCGTAATCATATTAACAGTAAAGTTAGAACTGGCTGCAATGATTCCCTCCTAACTCAAATGCTTACCTTGCTGGCCCCCAGCAATCGAGATGCTGACAGACTTCGCCGCCGATGATCGGCGTTACTTTTATCCACGCTCTTTCGTCGTTTTTCCAAGTATTTCGGCACACGCTTGTGATTCTTTATTCGACACTAAAATCAAATAAATAAATCTATAATGAAGCATGATCCTTTCCGGGGAGGTCTTTGGCAAATGCAGGTGCGAACCTAAATGTAGTACAGTCTTGGTTCGCTGCGAGATGATTGGTGCAAGAGGGGAGGAGGAGAGGGGTATGGCGGCAAAAGGACTGTAACCATGTGGTTGGTATGCACTAGTCTTCTACGGCCATTTGTTGCCCCTTGCCCGCTTCAACAACTTAAGGAGAACGGGCTGCAGCTGCGCCAACCGTCCCTCCCCCCCCACCCGTCCATTAAGCGGCGAAGAAGACGTATTCGAAGTGCAGTTTCATTAGATTGAGCGTTGGCAAGTGAGAGAGAGGCAGCGATAGAGCTTATTTAAGCAGTCAGCTAGCTCTGTCTCTTGACACTCTCTACCTCGACTACCATTTTTCAAGTTTATAGAGCGAATCTCGTGATGACTAGAACTCCTGCAACCGAAGACAGTTTTCACCCACCGAATAAAGTCAATTCACTGATGCACAAAAGATTTAGCGTTGCAACTGGAGGCGCCTACTTTTAGAGTCGCGCTATGAGGGCTGGCAGCGTTGGTTTCGGGAAACGGAATGTTGTCGCTCTTTGCTTGGGTGTTTAGTAATTTGAAAGAGTATTCGACCAAATCTATAGCCATGAAATTTTCTCGCGTCAAAGAATCGAGCCAAAATCTCGAAGAAAGGGGACGTAAAGGCAAGCTTACCTTCCGCAAACTCCGGCCTTCCGAAAGCAACGCGCTGTGTATTATCCATACTGAGCATCAACTGCTTGGTTTTTTCAGGGATTTCAATGCCATAGTGATCGAGCATCATCCTCTTCAATTCAATCATCCACGTTCGTTTTTGATCAGCTGATGACGCCTGAACCTTTCAGCTTTGGTATGGTGTGAAGTAGCGGGAAGAGGAGGAGAGAAGGACAGCTTCAGCTAGCTTTGGAACGCAGTTGGCACGATGGCTGAGGGGGCGGTTACTGCCATCGTCAATAATCGAAGGGCTAAGTGGGATGTGGCTAAACGCCCTCCCGCAGACCTTCCACCAATGACGTTGGCAAAAACCGCCCGCCCCCAGGAATCGTTCCCACTGCTTTGAGCATAGCTAGGGGAAAAACTAGGTAGAGATACTCACGAGGAAGATGTACTGAGCACGTGGATTGTCGAACGATAACACTTGAAACGCTAGCGGTTCCTCCGGTAAGATGGACTCATTCAGCATCAGATTGGAAGACTGAAATCATCATTTATATGTTATCTCAAAAACTCTGTGGGTTTTTCATTGAGTGGAAGAGGTAGAAGGTACAGCGGTTAGGATGGGCACCAATACCTATGAGACGACAGCTTGACAGAAGTGATTTAGATG